CCTACCTACCTGATTGGCAACAAAATACCTAAAGATTGAAGAATTCCCGTGGCTGGGAACCAAGTTTTTGAAAGTAACTGACAACAAGGAGGCTGTGAGCCCCAGTCTGTGTGGTGTTTACAGGCACGCTCCCCGGGGCCCAGAGCAGAGCGAAGGAGAGCCAGCGGAGCATGAAGACCAGCAGAACAGAGGCTGAGTGAGCTGCTAGGGGGAGAAAGAAAGTGAAATTCGGGTCAGATACGGCGGCGAGTATGCATCGAAATCTTGTTTACTTGGAACAAACTCCCAAACAGTGGGGATCACCTTATCTTCTAGGGCCAACCTGACTATGTGATGTCCCCTGAAACATTTCAGCTAAGAAGGCTGAAAGCCGAGACCCAAGCTGCATTGGTTTCCTAATGCTGCTACCATGGATTCCCACAAACGTATTAGCTTAAAAAAAAAAAAATCACCCTTTGCTACCCAACAGTTAGAGGTCAGCAGACAAATATGGGTCCCACTGGGCTAAAATTAGGGGCCAAGATCCTTTCTGAGACCCTTTTCTTGCCCTTTTCAGAGGCTGCTAAACCTTTGGCATGTCCTGTTTTGTCGTCAAAGCTAGCGCTGGCGTCTAAAACCCTCGCCTCTCGTCACTCTTACACTGGTTCTTCTGCCCTCCTCTTCCATCTTTAAGGAGGCTTGTGATCATTGTGAGCCTGTCCGGACAACCCAGCATCACCTCCCTATTTTGAAACCAATTGATGATCAACCTTTTTCTATCTGTGATCCTAATTCTCCTGCCAAGCACCATAACACATCACAGGCTCTGGGGATGAGGGCACAGTTTCAGGAAGCCATCCCATCATTCTACACACCACACAACCCCTCTCCAACTCACCCCCTACATCCCACCGGAATCCCAACTCCTTGGTAATCCTCATACACATGTCCTCCCGCTTCCGTATCAACACTCTGTTTTCCAATTACACTGACCTTCTCACCTTTTTCTAATCCATCTGTGCCAGACTTATGACTCGTCCTTTAGGGCTTACCCCAAAGGCTGCTTCCTCCCTGATGCTTTCTGATGCTCCCAGCTTATCATCCCACAGCACACTCAGCGGGCTATGCATCCCAACCGTATCACGGTGTAGGCACTTGCAGCCATCTGTTTACATGCTCTTCCTCGGGCCAAATGGTGGACACTTCTAGGACAAGAACTCTGTTTCCCTTCCCCAAGGGACTCCCACATCACAGCACAGGATTCAGCAAGAAATGGGTCCTTGTTTTAAGTATCTCACAGTACTCCTGGAACCCGGATGAAAAAGGAGGGGGCATCCCTTAAGTTTCCGCCATAAAAGAAACGCCGTAAGAAACGTAGGCCAGACCTCTAGTTCAGGTACTTATCCCACTAACAGAACTATCCACTCAGCTTGATGTACAACTTCCTGCCATGCGAAGGAACTTTTGCAAGTGGCACATACCATTTTTTATTGCTAACCTATGGAACAACTCTAAAGTAACCAACAAAATTACCCACAAGAGAAATAAAGACTTTATTGTTTACATTCCTCAAAATTATACACACAAAAGTAGACACTGCTTCAACATAAAATGAATGCCTGACAATCACCTTCCCTGGAAAGAGGCTAAGAAGTGTGAGGGTGTACCAAGTGGCCCTGTTTAAGGACAAGCTGCCCTGCAAGCAGACACCTGTGCACACTGCAATCAAGGGTTCTTTTCGTTTGATGGTAGTTATTAAGAAAACAGACACTTGTTTAATTTCAGTGCTCATTACTTGATGTCCACAGCCATAAAACTCCCCACAGGGAGAGAAAAAGAAAAATAACTCTTTTTCAAAGGAGAAATTAATTTGATTTAAAGGCATCTCTCATCCAAGTTCAACAAAGCTAGCCTGTCCATTTTTTCTTTAGTAATATGAATCCCGAAATTATTTCTAACATAATTCCCAATCCCACTCTCACTGAAATGAAAGTTTGAAGGAAAGCCTAGGCGGTGAGGGAAAAATACTGATTCAGTACCATGGACAGTGGACCCGCAACTTGCCAGTCACAGGCTCAGAGCTGTCCCAAGATTTCAGCATTTCAGCAAAGGCCTAGGGGTAGACAATTTCAACGTGTGAGCAGGTTATTTTTATTATATTCCAAAACACCACCCTCCTCCACCAATGGGAAATACAGCATACATCTATACCAATCTGCTCCACTTATCCCCTTCACAATAAAGCCCTGAGGTTTCTGTGCAAACAGAAATGTCTTTGCCCCTGACACATCAGTACAGTGCCAGATCTCACTGAAACTTATACAGAATCCACCTTCAACTGTCGGGACTGTTTCAAGGACCTCATGGGGCTTTTACAATTTACACATGCAGCATGCTCTCTGGTATCCAACAAGACCAAAAGGACAGCCTCTTCAAGACAGCTAACAAGGCCTGGCACGGTGACACACGCCTAAGCTCATCGTTTGGAACGCTGATACAGGGAGATCTCAAGTTTCAGACATGTCTAACCTGTGTCCCAGAAGCCACATGAGGCCACGAATAGCCATGAATGTAGCTACATGAATTTAGCTAACACAATATCATAAACTTAAAAACATTATAATATTTTCAGCAATTATTTTGTAACTCAGTTTTGCATGCAAACTTTGTAGATGATAATATTGTCTCACAGTGACATCCTTGGAACTGGGCTGCAGAACAAGATCCTGACTAAAAAAAAAAAGACAAGATGTAATCATGTCTTGTATATTGTATGTTGTGTGCCTTTTTCTTATAAAAAGTTGTAAAAAAATCATAAATCTGTGTGAATTTTCTTCTACCTACAAATGAGCATCACGGTGGTAACACCAGCTCTGAATTCCAGATACAGTGTCCAATCTTCTCAGTTATAAAGACCCTATTTCTAACAAATTCATTTTACTGTGTGTGTGTGCCCACGCATGTGCAAACACGCATACCACAGTGTTCCTGCAGCGGTCAGAGGACAACTCCTTCCACCATGGTTTCCAGGGACTGAACTCAGATCATCTGGCTTGCAAGGCCCATTCTAAGCCACCCCACCAGCCTGGAGACGTTTTTCCCAAAACTTTATAATATTAAGGTCTAACTATCTGCATGCTGTGATATGAACTCCAAAGCAGGTGCGCTGCATTAACAATGGCACCCACACACACGTGAAAGCAGCGTGGCTGGAAACGGAAGGCCTCAGGTGAACAACATCTGAACTCCCAGCTAGAAGCCCCAGCTTGCTAGAGCATCTCATATCTCGAGCCATCGTGCAGAGCTTCTCCAGCCCCTCTGACGCTCCAGCTATCTCCAGCGAGCACTACTCTGTACACACAAAATGGGCATCTCGGATGCTAGATAATAAACTGCCCTTGTTGTGGGGACTGAGGGTCAGTTCTCCAGATAGACACACCCTGCAGTTCCTCTGGAACCCAAATCACAGTTCAATCCAAAGAAGAGAAATGGGGCACAAGTTTGCCTCAGAAAACTAAGTTTCGGGAAGGCTGTGTCACAGAAATGTGTTGAGAGGGAGAGTTGGCATGCTAGCTCTTCAGCCTGGCCTCCAAGGCCCCGGCACCCAGGATTCCTTTTGGTGCAGCACCCACTAAAAAGCCTCCTCAACCAGTGGCTCACATACAAAGCTAATGAGACTTGAAGGCCCATGGTGCCGAAAAGAAAAGTAGAAGGAAAATCACCAATCCTGGGACCCAACTTCATTAACTCACAAATTTCCTATACAAACAGTATAGTGCAGAGTAAGGAAGGAAGCTAGACGGCTAAACCCTTTCAAATTAAACAAAACTCTTAGGGGAACAATAAGAAACAGGTCTAAGCACACCTCTTTCCCAAAAAAGAAAATGCAGTGATCAAAAAGAGGAACCAGCTTCTATCTGGTCTACCTGTTCTGGCTCTACTGGATGGCGCAGAAAACAGAAGGAGAGCCAAGAGAAGAGAGAGAGAGAGAGAGAGAGAGAGAGAGAGAGAGAGAGAGAGAGAGAGAGAGAGAGAGAGAGAGAGAGAGAGAGAGAGAGAGAGAGAAAGGAGACCGCAGTGGAGGGGAGAGAAGAGGCCGCGCCGAGGCCGCGCCCCACCCTCGCCCCACATCTATCCTCTGAGTTTCCTTTTTTTCCCCTGTTCATCTCAATCACAAGACACCCGGTCCAAGCCTTGCAAGTCCCAGTGAGCTCGCAGCTATTGTAAGCTGACCCGAAAGCCTGCTGAGTTATGTGCCCACTGACAACTTCTGAATTTGGGGAGGCAGTGGAGAGGCCTGCGTTCTCCTGAGTGGCTCCCTGACATGGGCAAGGGCCAGTTACCATCAGACTTTCACAAGGACCCTGGGCCTTGACTGAACCCTCTGGCACCACCATACAGGGCTGGAGACTGAGCCCATCGCTGGAAACTTCCCTCTAGGACCCTTCTTTGGCCCGAGCTCCACGCCCAAGGGCCACCAGAAACCACTCTACTCAATCAATCTCAATCTCTCTCTCTCCCTCCCTCTCCCCCCCCCCTTCTTTTTCTCTGCCTGGGAACCTCATCCCCTTGCTTTGCCTGGTACCCTCTCCTCAAGCCTGGAATCCCCTTCCTTAAGCCTGGAACCCCGCACTCAGCCCTAGAACCTCTGCCTTCAGCCTGGGAGATTCCCTGCCCTCAGTCCTAAGATCCCCACCCTCAACCTAGGACTTCCGTCTCAGCCTGGGACCCTCCCCCTCTGCCTGGTACCCCTAACCTCTCTCCTGGGACCTTGGCCCTCAGCCTGGGACCCTCGCATCAGCCTGGGGTTCCGGCCCTAGCCCTGACATCGCAAACTTCAACCCACCGCCAGGATCCCCAAAACCCCAGCTCGGATGAAGTTTTGTGACCGCGAACTGTCCAGTCCTCCGGCCTTTCGCGGGGTCTCAGTTGACCTGGGACGCGGCGTGAGAGCTAACCACCCCCCCACACACCCGCGCTTGACTCCCCCCCTCCACTTCAACCGGCCGCCACTCACTCACCTGCCCCGCCACGGACAGCGAGGCCGCGGGCCAGGCGGAGCCGAAGCTGCCGATCGGGTGGGGCAGAGGAGGCAGAGGAGGCAGACTCGGCGCGACGCGAAGCCCGAGGCGACCAAGCGGCGGCCGCGGCGTCTCCTAGCTCTGGCGACGGTAAGCAGCGCCTCGAGCTCTGGCCCGAGCTCTGCGCGCGGCGAGGACCCGCCCTCTCCGCGCACCCAACCACTCCCGCGCAGCCCGCCGGCTCTGGCCCCGCCCCCGCCCAAGGGCAGGGCCTGAGAAAGCGGGTGCCGGGATCCTATGGAACGGCAGGACGGTGACCAGCACGGCCAATCCGAGCGCGGGAAGCTCTCCGGCTAGAAGCCGTTTAGCGTCGAAGGGCGGTTAGGGTTGGGCGGAGCCCCACGCTGGGGCTGGAAGGAGGCGGGGCCTCTGGGTAGGCTAAGTCAACTGGTGGGGGCGGGGGCAGCATGAGGGCGGGGCTGGGGCGGGGCCTCCAGAGGGCTAACGGGATGGGAGTGCTACGTGGATGTGAGATGGCTGCGCGGCCTGCCTCTCCGGTGGATCGCCTGCAGGTGCTCGCGTGTGTTTCGCACACGCGGCTAGCGGGAGACTGAAGACACCCAGTCTTGCGCTCTAGTATTTTGTGGCGGTCAGTTGGACCCACGGCCCTTAGCGACCATGATGGCCTGATCCGTTGACCAGCAGCCTTTCGTGGGTTGCCCCTCTTGACGGGAGCCTTTGCTAGCCCACGCAACCCAGACTGCAGAACTTGCGTCCAGGTACTCTCATCTGCTGGGCCTGCACACCTATCCACAAATGACTCAAGGCTGAAGGCCGGCGGAAGAACTGGCTGTGGCAGTTATTGGACAACATGTCAATTAATTATTATTATTATTGTTATTGTTATTATTAATATATTTTGTGCACCTTTCTAGAGAGGTGTCTTGCTGTTTTATTTCTATTAACTATGGTTTTCATCACACTAAATAAACTTTCATCTGATTGCACCCTATCAGCTTAGACAATCCTTTCTGCACAACATGAAGGGAAGGAACCAAGCCATATTGTCATCCCATCAATGGAACAAGCTGAGAGTACTGGGACCTTGCCTTCCACCAGTGCCTAGACATCCAGGTTTCCTAAGATCTTTCTACAGCAGCCTGGACCAATCAGAGAAGGGACCAAATTTGGCCTTTCACAGGTTGGGAGAGTGATCCAATTCTCCGATTTCCCACCAGACGTGCAAGGAAGCATCTGTGGGAAATGTGATGACTTCTTTGTTGTTAGATGCACAGGTGGGTGAGAAGAGAAGCAGGTGACAGTGGGATTCTAGCAGAGACGACAAAACTCTCGTCCTGCCCCGAGGCCTCAAGCCCACCAACAATTCACTTTGGTGGCAATGATGATATATTATACATACAAAAGGATTTATACATAGCTCTCAACTCTCCACCTGTTACAATTATGACCTCTTTGTAGAGTCAGGAAGACCCTTGTAGGGCTGGAGCCTGTCACAGTAACCATGTGGCCTTGGGAATTGCCAGAGCCATGCAGGGATGATGTTCTGGAATCCACCCTGAGGGATTCTGAACCCCACATCAGACATACACAGTAGTCATTTGGGGTAGATGGCTCAGAAAGTGGTGCGTTCTTATTTATCTTCAACTATCACCTGTGTGATTCAGCGGCAACCTTTTAGAAGAAAGGGCCTGGGTGTGGGCAAGAGGGGGCTGTGGAGAGCCCTACTCGGAGGTTAAGTCCAGTTGCAGCAAACCGTGACTCTTTCCAAAGAAGGGATTCAGGGCAGGGCTACGGGCTCCCACCTGGGGATGCGAGTGACCATGTGGGCAAGCATTAGTGCACATTACTGTACATTAATCCTGTGCTTGGCAGAGGGAAGGGTACTCTGTGGTCGAGAAGAGGACAGAGGTTTGGAGGAGGATGCCTAGGGCAGCATGCTGGGAGTCACTGAGGCAAGGATCTCCTGGGGGGGGGGGATGGACACGAAGGCTTGAGGCCAGCCCACCAGCAGAACCCAGACCTGAGCAAGGGCTTCGACTAAGATTCAAAGCCTCCAGGAGCAGCGTGCGCAGGCCATCAGCTCCCTAGGCTCTGCACAGAGGCTCCGGAGGCTTTAACTGAAGCAAGCTCTGCCAAAGCAACCCCCCCCCCTTTCTCCAGATTACAGGTTGCCAGCCTCCTACTCCGCTCTCCAGGAGCCGGGGGCCTCAGCTGCCTACATCTCCTGGAAGACACACTTAGTCATTAGGAGACTAATGATAGTGTTTTCAAGGCAGCATGTTGGACCCTAACAACTTTCAATTATTTCCAGTTCCTGTCAACCCTGGGAAGAGAAAAAGCAGTTCAACTCAGGGTCCCACCCTTGACATGAAAGACAATCGAGTAAGGCTCTCAGTTCAGTTTCCCAGCAGATCTTTGAGAGCCAGGGCAGGCAGCCCCGCCCCTGGCTGTGGCAGCTGCTGACCCATTGCCCTCCCTCCGCAGATCCTTACATCCCTCCAAAGGCAGCCTTCCTGTCTTCCATTAGCACCGCTAGTGCGCTGTCAGCGTGGTCCTTCCCGGGAGAAGTGCACCCGGGGGCTTGCGTTTATAAATAACTCCATGGTGTCTTGTTGGGGTGTGGAGAGTGGGGAGCGAAGGAACCTTGTAATTATCATCTGCTTACTGTGATGTCAGACCAAGCCCTAGGAAGTCTCTGCACACTTGGCCCTCCAGATTGTTGCACTCATCCCTGCCACCCGAGAGCTGGGAGGCCGCAGATTCCAAAGGCTGGGACATCTGGAGAGGTGGGGGTGGTGGAGGTCCCCTTAGCTCTACATTAGACGGCTCAAAGTGCCGGTAAAATAGTTACACACGGGAAGCAGTCACGAGGTAATTAATGTCAAATCCCCTGAGGCGTGCAGGCCTTCCCCTCCCCTCTCCCCCCAGTGGAGCGCAGCCCAAACTACACCACTTCTACAGCTGCAGCCCCTCTTCTTCGGGTGGGCAGAGAGCAGAGGGGCAGAGTATGGGGCAGGCCCCTGAGTGCCTCTGTTGACCTTCAGCTGGGCTCCACTTCCTTGCTGAGCCTTCCTGGAGCCAGGACCCACCTGACGGTCAGAACGGCCCTTTGCACTAGGCAGGGAACAGGAGCATACACTTTCCCTAGTGGAAAACTGGAGAGGCTGTGCCCCTCTTGCTGCAGGCCATATCTCTAGCTGTTTCTACTGCTAACTCCTTCCCTGCACCAGGACAGCTGCTCTGCTCCCTCAGGAAAAGCTGCCTGAGCTAAGCAGGTTGCTCTTAGGAAACTCTGGGAGCCAGGGTGGTGTAGGGAAAAGCAAAAGGCAAGAATCCAGGGCTGCACTGAATACCCTCTGTTAGGGAACTGCAATCATCATCATCTTCCCCTTCAAGGCTGGTTCCTTCTAGACAGTAGAATCCTAACATAATAAATGCATCTCACCTAGTGTACCTGGTTGATCTTGAAACTGATTGCTACTGGGTGGGGACATTAAAGGGCTCCTAACTTGCCTCATGGCCCTGTGTAAGAGACAACGGTCACACTCGGCATCCATATGCTGCCTCACTTGACAGGCTCCTGTCCTTTGTCAATAGGGACAGAGTGCTGCAGAGACAGCAAAGCTATGGACAGCCCCACTGAGGGTCCCCAACTGTGGGGGCAGAGCTGTGGACAGCAGCATGAATTGGCACCATATTTACCCAGAGACCTCCGGGAAAAGGGCAGCGGGCCTCCAGTTGTCATATATACGCAGTCTTCTCTCGCAGCTGATATAACTTACATCTCCAGCCTTCCTGTCTCCTAGACCTTCCCCCAGAACCATGTTCTGTGGGAGTCCATGGTTTCAGCATCCTGAGAAGGCTATGGTCACCTTTCACCTGGGTACACCTCCCCATAGTTCACTGGCCCCCAATCCTCAAAGACCAGGGTGAGCACAAGGACCAGAGACAGACGAGCCCTGTTTTGCTGCCTGTGGGTGGCTGTACTGTGGGAAATGTCAGCATTGATGGATGTTTCTTCTACAGACAAGGAAAGCATCTCAGAGTCAGTAACCTGGGTTCAGCCAAGCAGGGAACCCTAAAAAGAGGGGGGGGAAACTGGACATATGCAGGAGGATCGTGTGTACCAGCCCATTGGTGACAGCTGTGGGGTTTCCAACATCTGACTGTGGAAAAGGACCCGGGTCCTACAACCCACTGTCCCCAGTAGACTAGAGCTGATGTAGTTTTCCGGCTCTCAGTACTCTTATCAAAAGGCAAGTGAGTCAGCAGCCTGCTTTGAAGAAGGTACCTCTGAAACCGAGGCTTCTTAGACCCTGGAGCCTGCATTGCTGGAAATGTTGGGAGGGGGGGGAACTCTAGCTACTTCTGCATCCTAAGAGCTTTGGGCCCCTCCCTACATGCAGTCAAGCAGCTCCAGCTTCATCGCTTTTACAAGGTTTCTAATGTGTTTGTGTAAATAAAAAAAAAAACTGCATCTTTGTTCTTGTCACGCGGCAACAGAGCACTGGGGTCAGCGGGGTTTTATTTCAGGAAGACTTTCAGTGCAATGGCGGCCAACCACCCCTCCCCTTCTCTGTGCCTCTACTGGCGCCATTAAGACTAAAATTAGAACCACTCTTTGTTTTAGTCATGAGCCCCGTGGCACCCACCATCCTCCCTCCAAATCTCCGCTAGGTAATTAGAGAGATACTAGGAAGGAGATGCAATGCTTTCAGACCTCAGATCCTGGGGAGAGGCTGAGCAGACTGACGAGGGCAAGTGCCCTGACCTCGGTCTACCTGCCAACCATTAGGGTTTAGAATGGACTTTCACTTTCACCTGCTGCTTTTTAAAACTAGAGCCTCCTTAAACTTCCATTGACTTGATCGTCTCTGATATCCACAGAGGATTTAAGACGGTGGCACTATTTAGACAATTCCTGTAACAGAAGCTGGTAGGGAAGGCGTCCAACCCTAATGAGACTTTACCAATTTTCTCGATAGAGTAAATAGATGTGCATTCTACTCCCTTGTAATTAAAGAGCTCTAGAAAATGTTTTAAGGTGAAAATTCAACAATGTGGATGATGGAAAATATGCCATTAAAGGGTAAGCTAAGAGCAGGGAGAACTCTCGACTTTGGAAGGAACACACGCTGGGAGCCTAGGGGCTTCCCTCTCTCA